AGGGGTTACTCCTGGCTCTGTGCTCAGGAATCTCTCCTGGCGGTGCTCAGGGTGCATCCTATGGGAAGCCGGAGATTGAACCCCGGGCTGGCCCACGTGCAAGGCAGACGGCCTCCCCGCTGTACTATCGCTTTGACCCAGCCTGTGTTTTTCTAAAGTGCCGTTTTCCGAGGAGTGACATGCTGTGAGACCTTAACTCGCCATGGTATTCAAGGAACCGTATGCTGTATTTTTGTAAGAAACAGCCCACAGGGGAAGATCACTGCCCGCGGTTACCAGGAGATGTCCCAAGTGCACCAATAAGGCCTTGTCCTCATGGAGGAGTTTCTTGCTAGCATATTGGCACGGTGGAAGACCAGGTTGAATTCAATATTTTCTTTTTCCGTCACTACCTACCCAGGGAGGGCATGGAGCGGGGTGGTGACTCAGTGGTAAAGCGCTTGCCTTGCATGTGTGAGGCCCTGGGTGCCATCCCCTGCACAGGAAAGAATCCCCCCTCCCCCCTCCTCTCTCTTCCCCCACTTCCCCACCCCCCCACATACCCGACTGACACACACAGTAACCAGGGCCCCTCGAGGAATGTGCTCTTGAGACTTGTCACCTGACGCCAGCCCAGCTTCAGGGCAGCACTGGCTTAATGATTGATGAAGGCCAGCTGATACAGCCCGGGCCACCTGAGGCCACCCTGGTCCTCGGGATGCCAGAGATAGACTATGTGCTGTGCTGGGACAGAGCTGGCCGACTGCTTCGTCCTGTCTCTAGCTGCTGTCCCCCACCACACCGATGGCATGACCAAGGCACCCAGAGTCTGTCCTCTGCAGAGCTTTCCAGAATCTGTTTGCTGGGCAGCCCTGGGGGTGGGGTGGGGAAGGCGTTCCTGGAGCCCTGGGGTGTGGAGCTCCTGTCCCTATGCCCCACCCCTGCTTCTCTGTCTTGCTCTTTGCCTCAGTCTCTCTCATCATGTGATGGACTGCCGTGTCCCCTCTTCCTGCGCATGCTCCCATGAACCTTAGTTAACAGAGCTGAAGGCCTCCCGGGCTGGCCACGCCCCCTTCTGACCCTGACCCCGCCCCTTCTGACCCTGGCCACGCCCCTCTGATTCTGACCCTGCCTTCTATCCTGGCTCCGCCCTTTTGATCCTGGCCCCGCCCCTTCTGACCCTGACCCCGCCCCTCTGGCCCTGGCCCCGCCCCTCTGACCCTGGCCCCGCCCCTTCTGATCCTGGGCCCCTGTGTTACCCTGTAGGCCAAACAAGAAACCCCCAGCAGACTTAATACATGATTGTTTCAGGGTAGCCTTAAAGCCGGGGCCCCCTTATGCCCATTCCTACTAGTTCATGTTTCGTGGTGCTAAGGCGGTGGACGAGGGGGAGCAAGGAAGCCTGGAGCTAGTTTCCACATTTGCGTCTAGATCAAAACTGAAGTTCTTAGGACTGGGGGAAGCCCGGATTAGATCCCTGCGTGGAGCACGGCTGCTGTGGATCCGCCAGTGCAGAGTGGAACCAGAGAGGAACACCGCTCCCTGCTCCCCTGTGCTGCATTGCCAGGGTTTTGTGCCATGGCCAGTGATGCTCAGGGGTTCCTCCTGGAGGTGCTCAGGGGAGCGAAAGGGAGGCCGGGAGGTTCGCTGCGTACAAGACCAACACCTGCCCGGGGCACTATCTCTCCAGCCCCCAGCACTGTGCGTTTGCTGGAGCGATAGCACAGCGGTAGGGCGTCTGCCTTGCACGCGGCCAACATGGCCGACCCGAGTTCGATTCCTCCGCCCCTCTCGGAGAGCCCGGCAAGCTACCAAGAGTATTCGATATGCCAGACACAGTAACAACAAGGTCTCCAATGGAGACGTTACTGGGCCCGCTCGAGCAAATCGATGATCAACGGGAGGGCCTTTACTTACTTTACTTAGCTAATTTTGGTTTTAGAGCCATGCCCGGGGGTTGCTCCTGGCACTTATGGTGCTGGGAATCGAACCCGGGGCTCCTGGCAAAGCAGAATTCAGGCTCCTGTGGGTTTCCAGGAAGCGCCATTCTCTCTCTTTTTTTGTCATAATCATTTCTTTTCTTTTTTTTTTTTTAGATTTACAATTTTTGTGCTTGGGTTTCGATTATACAATGATCAAATACCTATCCCTCCACCAGTGCCCATTTTCCATGAGTCAGGCTGACAGGTCCTATAGCCAGCTCCCGACTGGCTCTGGGCTCGTGGCTGGCAGGGGAGGTATTGGGGAGAATGAATGACTGAATGGAGAAGCAGAAGGGATAAGCATGGTCTTACCCAGTTGACATCTGGGGCAGAGGCCAGTCTGACCATCCTTGAAGTTTAAATCTCTGACTGTTTGTCTTTGACTCTCAAGGTCTGGGCTGGATGTAACTGGTCACTCCCAGGACATTGCTTGGAGTGGGGCAGGGTTATCATTCCTGGTGGGGCCTGGGGGGGATCATGAGGGATCAAACCAAGGGCTCCCATATGTAACACATGCATCCCGGCTCTTGGAGCTCTCTGCCTGTCCCTGGTTCTGCCTTTTGTGTTTGTTTGTTTTCTTTTTTGGGGGGAGTCATACCTGGCGATGCACAGGGATCACTCCTGGCTCACCACTCAGGAATTACGCCTGGCGGTGCTGGGGGACCATATGGGATGCTGGGAATTGAACTCGGGTTGGCCTTGTGCAAGGCAGATGCCCTACCTGCTCTGCTATCGCTCCAGTCCCCAAGCCTTTTGTGTTTTTAGCCATTACTTAAAGCTTCGGCCAAAAGATAGTGCCAGGATTAAGGCGCATGAGTAGCTCATACCAACCCAGGTCCTGTTCCCATATCACACTGCTCCCCCAAGCGTCGCCAGCTGTAGCCCTGGAGAGCTCAGTACTACGAGGTGGTGACAGCAGGGTCACCTCCTTGGGCACTGGCCCTCACCCACTAGCCCAGCTGGTTGAGAATTGCCAGTCGGGCCCCTGCGTCTGCTGAGCACTGAAGAACTGTTTCTGTGTTTGCAGAGGTTAATGACCAGCAGGGAGGAGAGAGAGACTGAGCTGGGACCCAGGAATCTCTAGGGATCACCTGTTTCACCCCCCCCCACCCCCCACCCTCTAAGGCAGGAATTGCAGGAATTAGATAAGCCGTCACATGATTTGTAGAAACTCGACCCAGGGGCTGTGTCCTAGAGATGTTGTTTATGGCTCCCAAGTGTTTGAAGCTTATCCCAAGAGCTCACAACACTTTGTTTTACTTTGCAGTTATTTTGCAATCTTCAGGGCTTACATCTCGCTCTGCGCTCAGGAATCACTCCTGGTGGTGCTCGGGGGTCTATATGGGGTGACAGGGATCGAATCCCCCCAGGTCCTGGGTCTGCTGTGTGCCTTACCTGCTGCTGATCTGTGATGAGAGAAACTTTATTTTTTTTACAGTTTTAAAATCTTTAATATAACTCCAACCTTTTAATATTAACAAAGGTTTAACAAAGGTTTTTCAGTACAAAACACTGAAACTCATTATGTATCAGTAGTTCTGACAGTCACAGTGGTTAACCAATGAAACTGACGGTACTCACATTTTAAAGAAATACAACAACCCCCTTTCAGTGGAACTCATGTTCTGGCAGTTGGAAGACTGAGGTGAGGTTTATTTTGTGCAAAGTATATTCACTTTACTCAGAGCAGCTATCTTCTTTCTCCCTTATGTAGCATTTTTTTCAAATGCTATTTTTCTTTTATGTTAAAAATGCTAAAAAAAAAGAGCTTTTTCTTAATGAAATAAAATCCACTGTGCATGTCACATTTTTAGACCAATTTGTTCATTACTTTTCATCAGAATTAGCAGTTTACAGAAAATTAATTGTTAAGACTATTAGCACACTTGCATATCAAAAGTATAATTTTAGAGTTTATAGTATAGAGCTCTGCGGTATAAAGTGCCTATGAGCAGTTTCCTATCAAATACTGAGGCCACAGAACTTCCTTGGAGAATAGATCCGTTGTTCACATAAACTGTAGTCATTGTAGGCTTCTCAGATAGAATATTCTGGATTGGAAGAACCTCCGATGAGGGAGGATTATTTGGATCATAGATGAAGAGCTTCTGGCCATTAGGATGACAGCCTACCAAGATGTCTCCCGAGGAAGGACCGATAGATAAATTATCCACCAGTGTATCCAACTTGAGTATCTTCAGTTGAGTTAAATTCATATTAGGGTGTTTTTCCAAAACGTGAATTTCATGATGAGAGGAACTTTTAACCTGAATGACTTCCTTGATTGTTCTTTGGTGGATTCTCATAGCTTTAACCCTGAGAGAAGGTTGGGAGGATGTAGGGGACAGAGCCTCCCTCTGCCCTATGCTTTCTGGAAGGCACAGCATTGCATGCACGACAGCTAGGCTCAGCTGTCATTTTTTTTGGGGGGGCACCCCTAGTTGTACTCAGGGGTCACTCCTGGCGGGGCTCAGGGGCCATATGGAGTGCCAGGGACTGAACCTGGGTTAGCTGTGTCCAAAGCAGGTGCCCTACCCATTGCACTATCCCTCTGGCCCCTTGGCTTTCATTTTGTTGTTTGTTTTGGGCTGGAGCGATAGCACAATGGTAGGGCATTTGCCTTGCACACAGTCAGCCTGGCTGAGCCGGGTTCGATTCTTCCGCCCCTCTTGGAGAGCCCGGCCAGCTACTGAGAGTATCTCGCCCGCACAGCAAAGCCTGCAAACTACCCGTGACGTATTGGATATGTCAAACACAGTAACAACAAATCTCACAATGGAGATGTTACTGGGCCCACTCAAGCAAATCGATGAACAACAGGAAGACAGTGACAGTGACAGTTTGGTTTGGGGATGCACCTGGTGAAGCTCGGGGGTTCCTCCTGGTGGTACTTGGAGGACTAGATGCCATGCCCTGTGCTTTCTCCTGGCCCTCTGCCTGATGACGGGTCTTGCCCGTCTTTCGCATCTGTGTTCTCAGGGTCAGCAGTGCCTCTGAGCCACCTCCTGGCCTGTCCTTGACTCTCCTCTTCCCTTCCAGCTCTCGGCAGCAGGATGACTCCCGTGGTGGCCCTGCTGCTCTGCCTGGCCATGGGGGCCAGGGCAGTGCCCCTGGATGACCCTGAGGATGGAGGCAAGCACTGGGTGGTGATCGTCGCAGGCTCCAACGGCTGGTACAATTACAGGCACCAGGTAAGAAAATACTCCGAGTTTTATTCGTCTGGGGGTGGAGGCTCACGGCCCCATAGTGTTGGGCAACAACCCACTTCTTCAGCCCTTGGATCCATCTTCCCAGGGCTCCCTAATCTTGTCTTTTGGTTGTTCTGTTTGGGGGGCCACTGATACGCATTGGCACTCCTGGCTCTGCACTCAGGGATCACTCCTCGCTGTGCTCTTGACAGTGTGAGATGACGGGGATAGAACCCGGGTCAGCTGCCTGCAAGTACCCGCTGTTCTATCTCTCTGGTCTCTCTAATCTTGTCTTTATCACCCTCAGGTTTTAGTGTCCAACAACCTTGGACACTGTTTTTTTTTTTCTTTTGGGGTGGGGGGTCATACCCGGCGATGCTCAGGGGTTACTCCTGGCTGATGCACTTAGGAATTACTCCTGGCGGTGCTCAGGGGACCATATGGGATGCTGGGAATTGAACCCGTGTCTTCCATGTTGGCTGCGTGCAAAGCAAACGCCCTACCCGCTGTGCTATGGCTCCAGCCCCCTTGGACACTGTTTAATGCATATACTTTTTTGTTTTGTTTTGTTTTGTTTTGTTTTCTGAGTCACACCTGGGTATGCTCAAGGGTGACTCCTGGCTCTGCAGTGAGGAATCACTCCTGGCAGTGCTCTGGGGACCCTGTGGGGTGCCAGGGATTCAACCTGGGTCAGCCACATGCAAGGCAATGCCCTATCCGCAGTACTGTCACTCTGGCCCAATACATGGACTTTCAAAAACTATCTACAGGGGCCTGGGAGAGGAAACTCCAAATTCAGTCCTCAGCACTGCATGTCTCTCAACTCCTAGCGGAGCCGTGCGCCCTCCCTACCCCATAGAGAGACCCCCATGTAAGAGGAAAGAAAGCAAGAAAGCCACTGACTTGCGTTCCTGGCTGGGGAAGCTGTGTGGATGTTGGTGGGGATGTGAGCTCTGGGCACCCTCATGTGCTGAGGCGTTACTGCCAGTCTCGTTCTGTAATGTTGGCAGATGGATAGAAAGGAGTTTGGCTGTTCTTCGTAATGAGTCCCAGATGGCCACCTCAGTCACCTGCGTTGGCCCGGCGACACTGTGACATTGGAGTCAGTTTTGTTTTGTTTTTTTTTTTTACTTTTTTATTTTTTGCTTTTGGGTCACACCCGGCGATGCACAGGGGTTACTTCTGGCTCTGCATTCAGGAATTACTCCTGGCGGTGCTCGGGGGACCATACAGGATACCGAGGATTGAACTCGGGTCGGTTGCGAGCAAGACAAATGCCCTCCCTGCTATGCTATCACTCCAGCCCCAGGCTGTGCTTTGATGCCGGGCCTGCCCTGCCTGTTGTAGGCAGCACAGCTGTGTGGCTTTGCTGTGACACCCCCCCCCCCCCCACCCCCCCAATTCTACTTCAGTCATCCCTGGCTTGTGGGCCCCAGGTGAGCCCCGCTGGGCCAACAACAACCTCCTTTTCCAGATAAGGAAACAGGATTTGCAGGGAGGTGAGTCATCTGCTGTCCAGACGTCCAGACGGGTCTGAAGTCCAGCTCTGTTCAGAACATCCCCAGGTCTTGGGTCCTGGCTGCTTCAGCCCCGACCCACCTCTCTCACTCTCTCCCGTCCCCTCCTTTCCTAGCGTTTCCGCCCGCCTGACCCCTGTGGCTGTGGGTGAGAAGAATCCTCACGGGGCTGCAGAGATAGTTCTGGCCTGCTGGGTGTGCCAGAGTTCCGGGCTCAGTTCCCAGTGCTCAAAGGCATCTCCTGGGCTCAGTGCTGGGGTCACTCCCCGCAGTGCTCAGGGCTCTGGCAGGCTGAGCACACACTCCCACTGATTGAGCTCTCACTCCCCAACCTGTTCAACCTCTGGATTCTGGAGCTGGGGGCACAGACTCTTTAAGACCCCCTTATTTTATTTTATTTATTTATTTTGCTTTTTGGGTCATACCTGGCAATGCACAGGGGCTCCTCCTGGCTCATCCACCCAGGAATTACTCCTGGCGGTGCTCGGGGGACCATATGGGATGCTGGAATCAAACCCGGGTCAGCCTCATACAAAGCAAACAAACGCTCTCCCTGCTGTGCTATCGCTTCAGCCCCTTAAGATCCAGAGGGACCACGTTTACCCCTGCAGACTGGTTCTTAGTCCGTCTTTGCAAATGAACAGGCGGAGGCGCAGAAAGGCCCAGTAGGACCGTCACCTGCCGTGCTCCAGGACAGGTGTCTGGCCACTAGGAGAGGCCCCTGTACTGGTTTCTCCAGTAGCCTCGTGAGGGGGAATGGGGCCTCCCTGGGGTTCTTAGGGGCTGCTCCGGCTCTGCCTGGCAGTGCTTAGAGGGTCATGTGGTCAAGCCCGGGCCATGTGATCCAGCCCAGGTCATGTGATCCAGCCCAGGTCATGTGATCAAGCCTAGGGCCTTGTGCCGGTCCAACATGCAGTCCAGCCCTTTGCACCATCTCCCTGACTTGAGGTTACATTTTTTTTGGGGGGGGAGGAGCATGGTAGTCACACTTAGCTGTGCTTAGTGGCCGCCCCTAGTGAGTTGCTTACTGGTCACGTGTGGTGATGCGTGGGGGACCATGTGGTGCCAGGCTTTCTACAGGCGAAGCTTGTAGTCCAGCCCATTGAGCTGTCCCCCGGCCTACCCAGGGAAGCGAGGGGTTCGGGCCACCCCCAGCAGTGCTAGGGCTCACTCCTGATGCCACACTGAGGGGTCACTCCTTGGCGTGCTCAGGGTCCCTATGCAGGGCTGGGGACCATATTGGGCTTGGCCATGTGCAAGGCAAGCACCTTAAACTCTGTAACATCTCCCTGGCCCCCTAACCATATTTGTTGTTGTTGTTGTTGATGTTGTTGTTGTTGTTTTTGGACCACACCTGGTGATGCTCAGGGCTTACCCTGGCTCTGCACACAGGAACCATACCTGGTGGTGGTGCTCAGGGAACCATATGGGAAGCCAGGGATTGAACTCGGGTCAGCAGTGTGCAAGGCAGACATCCCCCTGGCCCTCCCCAAACCACATTATTTATTTATTTATTTGTTTGTTTTATTAGTGAAACACCCTGAGGTACAGTTGTAGACTTATAAATGTTTGTGCTTGGGTTTCAGTGATCAAGTACCCATCCCTCCACCAGTGCCCATTTTCCACCACCACGGGTCCCAGTATCCCTCCCACCCCCCCAAACCCTCCATCCCACCTTGCCTCTGTGGCAGGGCATTCCCTTTTTAAGTACTAAAAAAAAAAAACTTAGGTGAAATAAGTTTCGGTTTCCGCCAGCATAACCAGACTGTGACCTCACCCCTGCAGTGTGTGTACAGAGCTAATGAGACGCCCTCCCCTCCTGTGGCAGTCTCCAGGGCTCCCGGGCATTCATCTCAGAGCCACCACCTCAGAAGTGCCCGTGCCTGCCCTAGGTCGCAGCTGCTGCCTTGTGGGTGAGCCACTCACCCATATCAGTTTGCAGGGGCGGGTTTAGATGAACTTCCTGCCAGCTTTCAAATGGCCAGGACTGTGGCAAGACTGATTTCTTGAAGGGTTTTTTGTGTGTTTGCTGAATAGGAAATTGGACCCGATGAAAAGGAAGAGTTTTTGTCATAGCAGAACTGTTCCTTTTCCTCTGAAGCCTTCCAGAGTCCTGGCTCGCTTCTTTTTTTTTTTTTTTTGCTTTTTGGGTCACACCCGGCGATGTTCAGGGGTTACTCCTGGCTCATGAACTCAGGAATTACTCCTGGGGGTGCTCAGGGGACCATATGGGATGCTGGGAATCGAACCCGGGTCAGCCACGTGCAAGGCCAACGCCCTACCTGCTGTGCTGTCGCTCCAGCCCCAGTCCTGGCTCGTTTTTTAAGGGAGCAACCTGAGCTACTCTTGGCTCAGTGCTCTCTCCCCTCTTCAAGCATGAGTTGGAGCACCAGGGTGTTAAATTCTGATCCTGTGTTGCACACGGGCTGATTCAGCACTCCTTGGGTTTTCCCTCCAACCACCTTAATAAATGTGTTTGTTAAATGTAATGACTACGGTTTGTCCAGGGACCTCGCCTTTGCTCCCAGAACACCTTTGTTGAATTAAAAATATTTTTTTCTTTTTTGGGTGCCTGGGATTGAATCCAGGACCTCTCGTGGGGCATGAATCCCACTACTGAACCCGCAAGAACATTGTTCTGCATGAAACGCATTTGCCCTTGTCCCTGGGCAGATACTCCACTTAGCCATTAGAATAGGGGCCAGCATGATGGTACAAAGGGTAGGGTGCTTGCCTTGCACACAACTGATGCACGTTTGATCCCCCAGCATCCCATGTGGTCCCCTGAGCACCTCCAGGAGTAATTCCTGAGTTTAGAGCCAGGAGTAACTTCTGAGCATGGCCAGGTATGGCTCTAAAACAAAAGCAAACAGAACAAACATCAGTAGCTATGCATTGTTGGCAAACACGGATGCAACCCATATGCCCACCAGCTGGATAAAGTACTCTCCTCATGACAGACACTCTTCGACAAGGAAAAGAAATGCAGTACTAATGAAGCCAAGTATCACTGAGTACTGATGACTGAGTACTGATGGGTACTGATGCGACTGAGTACTGGTGGTACCGATAAGTCTTGGAAAAGAGAAGAAGTCAGGCAGAAGGGCACTCAGGCCTTGCTAGTTTCGTTTACATGAAATAACTCAGAAAAAGCGTATTTCTAAACAGAGATGAGATAAGAACACACCTGGGCTGGGAGCCTGACACAGATCCTGGGAACTATGGGGGCGGAAATGATCCCACACTGATGGCCGGTGAGGTTTGCACAACGTCAGGCATTTCAGGGATTACAGAACCTCACTTTCTCTCTGTCCCCTTATTCAGGGACACAGGTTTCAGCCCGGGGTGACTTTTTTTTGGCCTCGCTTCCTCCCTTCTATTTCTGTTACTTTTGGAGGGAAGGAGACACACGTGATGCTCGGAGTTACTCGTGGCTCTGCACTCAGGAATCACTCCTGGTGGTGCTTGAGGGAACACAGTGGGATG